AATATTGGGTTTATTATTCTGCAACTGTGTCTAGCAAGACCTCAGTTTCTTGTTGCCTGCTGATCAGACACCAAGTTATGGAAGAATCTCTGGCATGATGCTACTGTAGTCTATGATTTTCAGAGCAAGGATCCAGGCTGAAAGCTTTCTGGTGACATTCCAAGTAAGCTGTCATAAGAAGAGAATCCAACACCCAAGACCTCAGTGCTTAGGCAAAATCAGAGGGTTTCATCTACTCAGAAGAAAAGATTAGAACTATAAATGCTAACTCAGTAACTCCCCAGGAATGAGCATGTGCCATGCTGAGACTGAATGCACCATTAGCAATTCCCTGGGGCCGGATGTCTATTTCAGACTGCACAGTATAACAGCTCCAGGGAACATACAGCCAGAGGATGCTGATAGTTTCACAGTTTCTTCTTCCCTGTGAGGCAGAAAATAGAAGTGCTCTGAAGCTCTTTCCCAGGAACACAGAAGTAACGTTTTCCAAAGCCATCAAAAGCAGAGGGAGATAGGTGTGTTCTCTGCAATCTGGGAGAAAAGGAAACAGAATAATCTGCTGCTATGGCTGCTAAAGGAGGCTCTTGGCTGTTTAGTAAGCTGTGTGGACTGATGCTATGGAACCTGTCCCTTGCAGAAAAGATTTTGGGGAGGTGTGTAATGTTGGCTCAGGTAGATGGACATCTCAGAAGCACATAGGGTCCACAGTGGATTCACACCACACCAGTACCTCCCCTCACAGCACAGATTAAAATGCTTCTAGTATATTCATGTCAGGACAATGATGGAGGCACAACCAACACCAAAGAAGGCTTCAAGCATCTGCAGCTCTTTATTGTTCTACAGTACAACCTTACATGCATTACACCTGGGTGCCCTCTGTACCCTTTGGTGACTGGTCAGTACACCTGGGCACTCCAAGTCTCATTGCTTTCAATGTTGGTCACCTGTTCAGCACAGCTGTAGCCCATTAGGGATGAGGCTCAGCCGCAGCCCCACAAACTGTGTACCTACAACACATTCACACTTTATCACAAGCAACCCATGGGAAAAACTTCCAGGACAGATGACTCAAGGTAATTTGGTAATGTGACTGCATCCTCAGAAAGAGCAGACAAAAAGGGAAAGGCAGACAGCCAGGCGGTCTCTAGCACACTGAGGTCAAATTCCCCTTTCTGTCACTCTCGGCTATGGGAAAGTTGAGGATCACAGAGAAGTACCAGCCTCTCTGGTTGTCTGCTGGCAGAGATGGGCGAGGCCCCAGGCAGACTGAAACACACTCCTGTGAGCACAACCATGCAATCTCTGCCATCAGAAAGATGATGCCTGGGTTTTAGGGATGCTCCTGAATGTCTCAACTTCTCTGCATAGTTTGGATTGCACAGTAAATGCCTCGGCTTCATGAGATGTGCTGTTGGCTCTGGGGAGGCATTATTTCAGGTTGGCTGCTGCTGGGAGTATGCAGCATGACTTCAGGCCTCATTAGATGCACACTTGACAAGTTTTCTGCATTAACATAAAGGGGCAAAAGGTTTTCTTAACAAAACAAGCCTTGTACAGTTGTCCTGTGTGTATGAGGAAGGGTGTGTCTGTCTCTCTGCCCCAGCTTTTTAATCCCAGTAACTTTTGAACTTCTTGGCCAGTTTTATGCAAATTGAATGGAGAGACGAATGTTCAAGAACTATTCAGTTCCAATGGCTTTTGAAAAAATTCAGCCTAGGTAGAGGACAGAGTTTTAATTAATGTCCCGAGTGGAGGAAACTTTTTTTGGAATAAGAATTTAAGTTGGCAGCAATCACTAGTCCAGTCTCCTGCTGAAATCACAGCCAGCTTCAAAGTCAGATGAGGCTGCTCAAGACCTCATTTTGTAAACCTCCAAGGTGTCAGGAATCTACTCTGGACCTCAGCTTCACAAAACAAATATACTGAGAGCAACACCTTTGGCTCTGCCAATCAGAGAATTCATTTCCCCCTCTTTTAAAGGAGGTACAGAAGTGGCAGCCCACGGTAAAGCCTGTGACAATCCCCACACTAGGCAGTCCATAAGGCTCTGCTTATGTTAAATATATTTAACCAGCAGCTACTTACTTTATTTTGGCATTCTGTGGTAGTTAATGATTCCAAGTACAAAGGTCAGACTCAGAGACACAAGGCTTTGTGTATCCCATTGTTTGATTTACCAGAAGCTACAAGGGAAGGAGTGCTGCTCTGTATGAGTGGGAACTACAAGCTACACATCCAGCCTGACAAGCTAATGAGAACAAGTCATTCATTAACAGGAGACTTGCTGCTAGGCAAACACACACAGCTGGTATGGGAGAAGAATTTGGATGTGAAATGAGACAGTGTAGTTGGTTTTTCTATAAGACATTTCCTATTTCAGCAAGTTTACAGTCTAAATAAAGACCACACAGAACACATTAAGAGCCTGATCAGAGGAAAATTTGGGCTTATGTCTTTTCTGAAAGGTTTGGTAATGAGCAGAGAGGCAGAATTTACAAGGAGAATGGAAATATTTGCATGTTTAAAAGAAGGAACAAGTTTTAGATTTAAGTGAGATTTGATTATAAACATAAATCCTGCTCTCTTGAGTACCAGTCTATTCTGTACACACATACACATAAATGCATTCACAGAAACATCTTACAAAACTCTGGTGCTTTCTCCTGCTTCAGTGACTACTATTATGCTTCTTTTTTTTTTTTTTTTTTTTTTTTTTTTGAGAGTTTCACACTAGTAAGCATTTTTTACAGGATTAACATTAAAGTTGGAAGCTGCAAAGTATAGCTATTTAATAACTGAGGAAGGAACACAATGTCATTTGAAAGATAAAGTAAGCACTTACAATTCTTGCATAATCAAATAAAAAAGCCTACCAAGGAAGAATCTTTCCAGACTTTGTGGAATGAAACAATAACAACATTTTAGATCAAACTCTGACTTTCAAAGTGATTTAACTGTTTAGGAGCATTACATAGAGCATGACACCATCCATGGCCAGGGTACAAGTGGTCCAGAGCAAGGCTGGACCCTAGCATCCTAAACATGTAACACAGAGCAGCAATCCTGCCAGAAGCTGTATCCTCAGGCTTCTTTATGAGATCAAAGGTTATATTTAGAAGTATGTACATCTGAAAACAATACTAGGAGTGCAGTCATTATTGGGATTCATTATTGTAACAAAGGCATCTTCTGAAGATGTGGTTTTCAGCATAACTTAGAAAAGGGAAGTGAAGGTGCTGTGGAAGATGGAGGGGAAGGAGATATTAGGGGAGAAAAAAGAAGCAAAGAACATGGAGAGGAAGCACTGCTGACTCCAGAGTCTAATGATCTTTTCCAGCCTAAATGGCTCTATGATTCTAATTCCATCTTATTTTAGCTTCACATCATGTTTTTAATGTATCTTTATTTTGTTTTGGACTGTCACAGAGATTATGCTAATCCAAACCCAGCACAGCAGTCATCAGAGGAATCTATGCTGGGACAAGGCTGCTCTCCAAGTCACTGCTGGAGGAACTGCAGTACAGCACTGTGCTCTGAAGCATTTTCTATCACTTAACTAAATGTCAGCTCTCTGGATACAAACCTCTCAGCAGAGGAAACAGAAAACACAGGAAGAAAAGCTTCCATCTGCAAATCGAGAGAACCCCCTCACTGTCCAATGAGCTACTGAGATTTTAAATTAGGAATCATAAAAATTAGGCTCCTAAACATAAATTAAGGCAACACTAGAACTCTGGTGGCAAAACATTCCTATTGACCCACCTGCAGCTGAATGCCTAAAAGCCTGAATCATCACCAGCACAGTCAAGGGACCTCATATTCCCTCAGCAAATGTACTTTATCAGTGATCATTGTGCAAGCTTAGTACTAATTTGCAATTCCCAGCAGATGCAGAGACTTGTCATCATTTTTGTTTGGTAGAGGCAACATGTTCCACAGAAAAAGGCAAACAAACAACATTCTTAATGTTCTTATTAGTATACTCTTCTACAGCATTTGGTGCCTGGAACAGATGCTTGGGAAGGGTGGTGCAGCTGTAGTACTTAGAAAAATATATTGGACAGGAAAGAAATTCTTGAAGAAGTCCTATAATGTACTTAATTCCATCTCTCCCCACCGCTGGCTCCACCCTGCTGGAGGCTGTGTGAGGTTATGTGTTATACCCTGATAGGTACAGCTCCTGCAAAACCTCAGCACGGGTAATGTGCTGCTGTTGACAGTTGACAGACACATGCACAAACTACACAGTTCTGATCCGTGAGGGTGCTTAGTTACCCAGCATACCTAACCCCAAAACACAGGGCCAAATAAAAGAAGAATGGGGATGCCTGAGATGCTGTAGTGAGCTGGCTGTCTGTACAGACTCATCTTTTCCACTACAACACCATGTGCGCAGTCCCTTTTCCCCCTATGCATGGAGCTCTTCCTTTTCTGGCTCTCCTGGCTGGTAGCAATGTTTAGACTTGTGGCAGTGTCAGAAGAGTGGTTTGAATGAAGACAGTGCTGAAGCAGCAGAAAAGACAGAACAATAGGCTCCTTCTACAGAGGAGAAGGATGATTTGGGTGGTGGGATACACATTTGTGGGAGTGTGTATATGTAGGTTTTTTTTATCTAGGGTGGAAGAGAGTTATTGACAGAGGAAATTTCATCTGCCAAGGGCTGCATGTGAACCCTTCTGTACTGTTGGGCAAAATCTGTTACTTCCCCAGAAAGCTTCTATCTTCACAGACTCTCACTGAACAGGCATGAGAGTACCCCAAGCTATCCTGCATGCACTGTACATAAATGCTAATTTAAATCATAGTAGTGATTCAAAATAACTTTTAAGACAACAGTGAAACTATTGTGCCAGGACAGATCTGTGCAGACATTTTAAGAGCTGTCAGTCAGAGATGAAAGGGTGAGTGTTTGAACAGGTTACACCAAGAAACAACATCCTCCTTTGATACGGCTCAGCACTTACAAGCTTTCAACATTTACGGCAGAGTGACTAACCTTGTGTCACAGAGCTTTTATCAGATTCTTAAATTTTTCTTATTTGTTTTGAAGCCTCTCTCCAGAACCCCATGGTGGCTGAACCCCAGAAACCAGGTGGCTGCAGCTTGGAGTGGCAGAGGGACACAGAGCAGCACTGCCCTGGGCCATGTGGTGGGCAGTACCCATGTGGTGCCTTGCAGACACCCAAGGGAAGCTGCAGCTGTCCTGAGCACCACAACTTGTTCTGGAACTGAATGAAGGTACAAAAATCTGACATGCTGTACACTTGTATCCCTCAATCAGGCCTCTGCTGTTCTACACAGTTAGCAAATACCTTAACTAATACATCTGTATCCTAAATACCAGTCAAATATTTCACACACATCTGTTTCTCTTTGGGGTACAGAGGGTTTATGATCTGGAAGAGCAAAGATTACTGCTAGAATTAATTTTTAAGGTGCCACCAGCATCCTTCTAGCTAATTTTTTCCTAAATTACAAATAGAAACTGCCCAGTTAATTCAACAGTCAGGCTCAGGAGTCTCCAATTTGTCCACAGGCTCCTTCTGGCACAGAACTGATACTTCAGGCAGATGACAGTTAGACTGTCATGCCCAGTATGATGTAAGACTGCTCAGCCAGCAATTTTTTGAGTGTGTGATTTTTGGAGCATGCTGTGGATGAGGAGCAAATGCATTGTCAGTGCTTATAAGAAGCTTCAAGAAATGGATATACCATTAATATTTAAAGTCAGAAGTGTTTCCAGAAATACCACATTTCTTGTCAGCCACATGACTGTAACTTCAGTGCTGCCTTGGTCTTTTTTACCCCTTACTTGAACAGCTCATGAACAGCAGATTGACTGGAAACCCCAAATTGCCAGGACAGTAACTGATACCTCATTAATGCATGGTGCCAGACCTCTTCACAAGAAATTACCCTTGAAAAACAACCTGTTATTGATGCTTCATGAGGCTGATAATATCACAGCTAATAAAAATAGATAGCATTGGTGCAGATTTTACCTCTTGGCTTTGCATGGTTAATAACCATGACACTCTGAGAAGTACATACTTATTAGCCTCCATTTTAACAACATGGAACGGTGTGGCTCAGTGTCATCAGTAACTCAGCAGCACAGAGTTCCTTTCAGTTTGGGGAGTTTCTTGCTTATATCCCCATTGCTCTTTAGCAGTGACCAGAAGAGCTGTTACCAGCCAAGGCATCCCCTGTTTGTATGACACCATAAAAATGATGCTGCTGAGGGGACCAAGTGGGGCACAGTGTGATGGTCTGGCTTGTTTAGCACACATCAAGCAATGGTTAGAGTTTGCTTTTTTTACAGGGTACAGCTTGCTCTTTAAAACCTATTATACTACAGCAAAAACCCCATGCTGCTGCCCTCTTCTCCTTGCAACAGGCCTTAGAAAGTCCCTGCCTAACCCCATCCACAGGAAAGATGGGTTTGTGTGTCAGACAAGTTTCCTGGAGCTGGACATTAATGTAACCCATAGCAAGCTGTTCTATGTGCAGAAGGTGCTGGAAGAGAAAATGAGAGATTTCATGAGATCTGAGGAATAAGAACAGTCCTTAAATTCAATTCTCCTTGGTGCACTTGCATATAACAGTCTCTTGACACTTGTGTCTTCTTTTAAAATACTAATAGCCTTCCTCTGGATAGTTCTTCATGATCAGCAAGTAAAAAGGATTAGGAAAGAAAAACAGTATTTCTGTTGATTTTTTAAAGAGCGGCTCTCTGCTACGTGGCAACTGCAAATGGCACGAGGGAGTTCTGTGTTTGTTGTCTCTCCAGTCTCCAGAGAACATATATTTTGTTTACAAGGCAAACCATTTATAAATGCCAAATCCTGCAAATTCTAGCTGGAATGAGACCAGGAAATAGCTCTACTGCAGAGTTTACCACGGGCTGGTTCTGTCCGAGACTGCCCATTCTGCAGGAATACCCTTTGCTCATATGCACATAACCATGTCCGTACAAGGTCCAGGACTTGGCACCATGTACCCCACGCTGCACCCTGCGTGTTCCCAGCACTATTTTAGGAACTGTTTTGTTATGTGTTATTAGGAGGTCTATTTGTAATTCCCCATCTCCCAAATGTTCTTAGTCCATTAATTTAGCGAGTTAAGGCATTTCTGGCTCCATATGCTCTTCATTCCCATTTACTCCATCCATCCTGTGAGAGAGTACACATCAGTCCAGTGGGATGAGCCACCCCTATTTTAGGCAGAATTATTATTGCAGTAGGGCTCAGTTTGAGTACATGCACCAGTATGAACTCCCTGGGAAGGTAGAACATGAGCTTAGAATTCCTGTCACTGAAAGCTGGCTTTCACAAAGCTCTGAGAGGAATGTCTCCTCACCTTCCCACCACAGGACAATGACAGAGGTTGGAAGCTGGTTGGCTCTTGAGTATTACCAAGCCAATTTGTCACTGTCACATCAGTTCTCAGTGGTAAAGGCATCTGAGGGGAGCAGCACTGTGGCTCATCCAGGATGAAGCAACATTACTAAGACATTGCTGAAATAGTTGCTGGCATGGAGAGAGAAATACTTCCAACTGCTCAGGTCCTCTAAACTGTGATGAGCACCATTATCTTTCAGGACAAAACCTCCTGCCTTCTGCTTTGATTGGAGTGCCTTATACTAGCATTACAGAAGGTGAAAGAAGTTGGTGTACTAATTAGTTACAGAATTGAGTGTATGTTCAGCCACCCAGCAAGATGCTGCTGCCAACCACTCCTGGTGTTATTCATACAGCAGTGATTTCCTCCTCCTCCATGCACTTGGCCAGTACAACAGGTCCTGGCAGGAGCCCAAGGAATCAACCTGAAGCCTGGTAACCCACGGAGATCACAGAATCAATTAGGTGGGAAAAGAACCCTGAGCTCATCGAGTTCAACCTGTGACTTGACAACACCATGTCAACCAGTGAGTGGTGAGTACCACATCCAGTCTTTCCATGAACACCTCCAGACAGTGACTCCACCACCTCCCCGAGCAGTCCATTCCAATGTCTAATCATCCTTTCTGTGAAGAAATTAATCCTAATGTCCAACCTGACCTTTCCCTGGTGCAGCTTTTAAGACTGTGTCTTCTTGCCTTGTCCCTGGTTGCTGGGGGGAAGAGGCCGACCCTCACCAGGCTACAACAACCTCCTTGTGCACATCTTAGGACAAGCCCAGCTCCCTTCTGCAGCTGGGCACACGGCCCTGGCTTTATCCTCATGCCTGCTCAGCTTTGTAGGCAAACCAGCCTGGCTGTAGCCTACAGGGACAGTGTTGCTCAGGCTGGGCCAGCCTTGAGGCCACAGCCATTGCTTGACAAAGCTCGAGTATTTGGACAACAGTCTCGGGTTTGGCTCTTGAGGCTGTCCTGTGCAGGGTGGAGAGATATCTTTGATGGGTCCCTTCCAGCCCAGGAGATTCTGTGATTCTCCTGGGCTGCTGCTCATGGCCAAGATGGGAGGCCTCTCCTGGGGTGCGATCTGGCAAGTCACCCAGGTGGGCTCTTGTCCCTCAGCCCATGTCCATGTGCATTCCCTCGTGTGCCCATCCCCACTGATTGCCTTGCCTGTGGCAGTGCCAAGAGGATGGTGCCAGGCTCTTCAGTGGTGCCCAGAGACAGAAGGAGCAATGGCCATAAACTAAGCACAAGAAATTCCACCTCAGCATGAGTAAGAACTCCTTTATGCTGAGGGTGGCAAAGCACTGGAACAGGCTACCAAGGGAGGGCGTGGAGTCTCCCTCTCTGGAGAAATTCAAAACCCGCGTTCCTGTCACCTGCTCCAGGTGACCCTGCCTTGGGCGGGAGATCCACAGAGGTCCCTTCCAACCCAAACAATCCTGGGATTCTGCGTGCTGCAGCAGGGCGGTCTAGGCTGGGGGGGGCAGCCCTCCCTCTATCCCAGCTTCCCTTCCTCCCTCCCTCCTTTCCTCCCTCGCTCCCTCCCCTCCCTGGGCGGACCGGAGGCGGCTGCGGGAGCCGCTCCGTCCCCGCTCCGCCGGCGCTCTGTGGTTTAAGATGGCGGCGGGGGCTGCGGGGGCGAGCCCGTGAGCCCCAGCGCGGAGCTCCGCGGGAGCCGCCGGCACCGGCCGCGGGAGGAGCGGGACTCGCCTGCCGGGCCGGGAGCGGCGGGAGCGGCGGGATGTGAGCGCGGCCCGCCATGGGGCAGCAGGTGGGCCGCGTCGGGGAGCCGGGCGCGGGGCTCCAGCACCAGCCGCCGCCGCAGCAGCAGCAGCAGCCGCGGGGTCTGCGGGGGAGCAGCGCGGCCAGGCCGGCGGGCCGCCGGCGAGAGGCGGCCGGGCGCTCCGCAGAAGGAGGATTCAATGTCTTCACCCAGCACGGTGAGCGGCCGGGGCGAGGGGGAAAGGGGCGCGATCGGCCTTCCTCCCCTCCCTCTTTTGTTGTGGTGGGTTTACTGGGGGAGGGGAGAGGCAGGCCGGGGAGCGGGGCAGCCACGTCCCGGGGGATGCTTGCCCCGGCCGCCACGTCCCGGGGGATGCTCGCCTTCGGAGGAGCTTCTCCCCCACGACCCGGAGTTACGGGGATCGGGACTGCCCGCCAGCCACGGCGGGAGCGAGATGGTACCGCTGGGGATCGGGACCCGCGGGGTTCGGTCGCTGTCACCGCGGCGATTCCGAGCTCTGGTTTTGTTTACAAAGGTAAAGGTAACATGTGCCTTGTCCGACTGTTTGCCGAGGCGTTTGTGACTTGCCGGTGTAGGTAGATCTGTGAGGCTGTGTCGGTCCTGACATAGTAAACAATTTCGTTTTGACTGGGGTATTATAGCTGCCATCTGATTCTCGGTTGAAGTTTTTGCCTGTCCACTTCTGTTCTTATTGCTGTAAACTGAGACCGGAACTGTTTCATGTACACGTCTCTGTAACCTCTCTTAGAAGGACCCACACACCTTCAAATCTCCTTTGTAATTATGTTTTATATATATATATATATATATGCACACACACACACACACTTATTTGTGCATTATATTAAGATGCTGCCAAGTTTTGGGACGTAAGATCAACTGAAACCTGTCTGCCTTGACAGGCATGTTGAGGGTAGATGAGCGGATGCATCTCAAATCCTAAAGACCTGAATCAGCTCTGGAGAGCTTGGCTTTAAGTGGAGAGAGAGTTGTCAGTGTTTATAAAGCAAGGCTGCTTCTGACAATATGCGTTTTCTTTTGCTCAATAGAATGAGCTCGGGCAAAAAGATTAAGGAAGTGCAACCAGCAGTCTAAAAGTAAGTATCTTCTGTGACTGCTGACATATAAGTATCTATCAAAACAAGAGCACAGCACTAAATCTGTTCTTAAAAATCTCAGTGTTATCACAGCTTTTGAGTTCAGGGAGCAGTATCAGCTTTAAAACCAAAACAGAACATGCTTGCTGAGCGCCTGACCCACTGTTAAACTAAGAGTTGTTATTTTATTGCAACTTCATGTTTTACTCTTTGTATTTTTATATGTTAAAAGGCACTTTGGCTAAAGCATTCCTATCACAGACTGCACACTCGCAGTGTTGAGGACATCTCAGAAATTAAACACACTTCTTTCAGTGGGGTGTGTCTAGGTCTTTAGTAGCAGAGCAAGAATGCTGTAGAGACTGCTGTGTACACTCCTGCTAATGTCAAACTGTCTTCTCATGCTTTGGTACCAAGATGACTCTTTGGTTCCTGCTGTTACAAGGCAAGGACAGAAAGGACGTTTGTGGAAGTACATTACAGATGTGGGGATGTGTAGTGACTTCCCAGTAACACAGTTGACACTGACTCAAGCACTTGTTTTCGTTATTGCTGCATGTTTTGGTAGTAATTTAGTTCAGCATCCTGAACAATTCCTTCTAGCGCCTCCTCACACCCTACTAAATTTCAAAGATAGACAGTAGGGAGAATTATTTACATGTAGCAGGGAAATGGAGAGGAAAAGCTTTCTGAAGCATGCATGCACACCAAGAAGACAAATTATGTTCCCTGCCAGCCCTTCTGCTCTGTGTTCCATAGATGAGAAACAAGAATGAGCCTGGAAGGCCAACACACTGAATAAAATGGTTCAGTGCCACATAAAAAGAACCTTGCTCTGGGATAAGAGCGATGGTATCTTTCAAAATAATTTCTCTACTATTTATATTGCTTAGGTTATCTGCTTCAGTGGTAAGGTAATGGATGTAGCTCTACTTAGGGTCTTTACTTAGGATTGTTTCTGTTATTTTCCTTGCAGACTGTAAAGGAAGGTGTGTTTTAAAAACGAGATACAGCTTTTTATTCTGTTAGATTATGTGGAAGGGGTGGGACTTTTTGGCAACCCAGGTTTTGAGAGATTCAGAGCAGGCTTCAAACTCCTCTTCCATCTTGGTGAGTGCCTCAGCTGTATGAAATTGTTCTCTGATTCCATTCACATTTTACTAGGAATGAGTTAACAAGTCAGCATTAATAATCTGTAGCAAATGCTAGTAAAGTTGGATACCTTTTTAAATACTTGTCTTGTTCAAAAACTAATATGCATATAGTATTCCTGAGTCTGGAGTTCACTTCCTTTGTCAGAGAAACTGTTTTCTGTGATCCTGACTCTCCTTGTCCAAAGGGATTTTTTATCATCAACTTGTATTCCTATTTTTCATTTAATGACCTTGCTCTCCTGTTTTACTTAGCCAGCAGCAAGCCAGGTTTTCTTTAAGTGAGTCATATGCTTCTGCTGCTG